GCCGTCTGAGGCTCACTACAGAGCGCTCGGGCGGCTGCAGCATGGGGGGGGCGGCGGGGCTGGCCATGGCACCCCCCACCCGGCTGGCACCCGGGGCGGACCGCCCCCCCCCGCCCCCCCCTTAGTACGCCACTGCTGGCCAGAATTGGCGTTCCATTTAGTTTTTTTTACTTTTTTCACACACAAACAAATATGAACGCTAACTTTGGCCAGTGTTTGTGACTACGTGGCTACTAAAAAAGACTGGACATACCCCATATTGAATACTCTGGGTTGTCTACTTTAAAAAAAAAAAAATGTACATGTGGGGTGTGATTCAGAGATTTATGACAGATAACAGTGTTACAATGTCACGTGAAACATTTAAAAAATATATATTTTGAAACAGCAATTTCCTATTTGTACTTATAGCCCTATAACTTGCAAAAAAGCATGTAAATATTGGGTATTTTTAAACTCAGGACAAAATTTTTAATCTATTTAGCAGTTTTTTTCCATTAGCTTTCGTAGGTAAGTAAAAGATTTTTCAAGCAAAAGTAAAAAACATGTTTTTTTTTTCAATTTTTCACCATATTTTATTATATTTTTTTCTTAAAGTAAATGATATGACATGATACAAATAAAGGTATGTAAAGAAAGCCCTTCTTGTTCTGAAAATATATAACTTGTATGGGAACAGTAAATAGGAGAGAGGAAAATTACAGCTAAACACAAACACCATAAAAGTGTTAAAACCGCTCTGGTCGTTAACGTACAACGTCGCAAAAACAGGCCGGTCCTTAAGGGGTTAAAGTCCTCTTCATATTCGCAAATTTTACATTTTAAAAGTGAATACCATTCTGGTTAAAGTTTCTCTTAATGCTAAGGAAATGAATTGCATCTCCGCTTCAGAATTCAGTTGTCAGATTTTGTTTTTGTAACATTAGTTTCTCTTGAAACAGAGTGTCCAGTTTGTGTTTCCTCAACGTGATTTGTTTATTTTTTTCCCCAGAGACGCAGAACTTATCAGCAGCCAGCAGCTCATGGCACAATTTGCCCTCCGAGGCGAAGCCAAATCCACATGGCAGAAATACTCCCGCCCTCAGAAACACGAAGTGAGCACCGAGCCCGCCTTAAACGCCAAAAACCTCATCCGCTGCATTAGTTCCCTCTCCGTGATCCCTGTCTGAGACTCTGCGTGTTCCAACCATGGACCTCCTTAAGAACTGCATCGGATCGCACTCTAGGTCAACTCAAATACCAACGTAGACCTTTTCTGAATTCTAATATTTTATAAATGAATATTTAATATGCTAAAATGAAATGTTACTGTGTTATTAAAATATACAGAGCCTTATAAACTATTTTACTCCCACATCAGAAAATAATATGACCGATGTAAATCCTTCCGACTCGATCGCTAACAAACCCAGCGAAATGCGTTTCCGCTTCAGCATGAGGCTTGTTGGTATCAGGAAATGAATAAACAATGGCTTGGATTATTTCAAAATTGTAGTGTTTGTTTATCAAACACATCCACATGTGGGATCTAAATAATGTTTTCATTCTTTAAAACCGTTTTGTTCCCTGTATGTGTAAAATGTTCTGTATCTCTTTAAATGTCTGTTTTTCTTTGTTGCCGCTATTGATCCTTGTTATATTACATTATTATTATAATTATTATATTATGAAGAGGTGTGGGATGTCCGATGGAGAATTCCTTAAAAAGAAACGTCTTGTCTAAAAAGGTTCTGTGAATTATGTACAGCATGCGCATGATGTATATGTGAGTGCTTTTTACAAGCGTAAAGCTAATATTGCCATCGATATATTCACTAAACTGGGGACTACCATGAATCCAAGAGAGAATTTCAGATTTTAGACCAAATTTGAAAATATTTTTTCTAATTTTAATTTTTTTTTAATTTTTACCAAAGTTCTGAAAATCATTGGTCCGTTTCCTGTTTATTGAATATCTCTGACTGTGCTGTAAAATCAGTTAATGTAAGTTGGAATGCATTGGGAACCATTAGAACAGCCCAACCTGTATTGAGAGGCCTTTGAACACGCATGACATTTTTTATTTTTAAACCAATATTTTAATAATAAATCTGGTCTTCCATTATCTCTGTCGTTGCGGTCTAACTTTAGCCTTTCTGTATAACTTTCAAACGATGTCATAACTGATCTCTCTGCAGTATTCGAGTTATACCGGTATGATTAACACACTAGGTGCTGATCCTCCCCAACCAACTGCACAATCAGAATATTAAATTGAATTCATTTTAGGATTTTTTTTTTTTTTTTTTATTGTACTGATTTTTTTTTTCCTGTTTTTTAAATGTTGCCATGTTAGATGTGACAATCTGTGTGTGTAGAGATGTAGATATTATATTGTAAAATATTTTTCATTCTGTTTAAGTGGAGTTTGATGTAAAGAAAAAAAAAAAGAAAAGAGAAACACACGTTCAATAAAGTGATATATTTTTAGGAATATGTTTTATTTCTCTTGAATTTGTATCTGTGTTTGTGGGAGTAGGAATATATTTGTTTTAGGGGTTGGGGTACAGGCCAGGGAGTTTGGGTAAATTGGGGTGAGAGGTATACGGGCAGCAACACTCAGATTGGGAGTGTAGTGCCCCCTAGTGGGCACCATGTGGAATTAAGGGGGTTTCCTCTTGGGCAGGACTGGCAGTTAGTGGAAGAGTTACATTGTTAGTACATAGTTACCTTTATGTGGTCACTCGACCTCCTGCCTTCATTCTTATATCCTGTTGTCTCCTGAGGTTCTCCCTCTCTGTTTGCTTTTCTCTGGTCTGTGTGGTGGTGGCGCTGGATTTCGTATGTCCCTGCTTTAGTGGGGTGGAAGCAACCAATGGCTGGGCTGGTTTGGTCGAATTCGCCTTGTGAGTCCCAGGCTGTTAATGTTATTTCGGCCTTGTCCCTCCTGGGCGGGAGGGTGCGGCTTTGCACGTGGTAGCAGAGATGGTGGACGGGAGTTATGACAGTAAGGTGTCTGGGCTTTACCCCTTGTTGGGCAAGGACCTGATAGGGGCGCCTGCCTGTTACTCCTTGGTGGAGATGGTTTGGCAGAAGATCTCCCTTGCTGTCGTTTATGGCTCCGCTGCAGGATTTTATTTTATCCGCGTCCTCTTGGGGCCTGAGGAGTTCAGTTAGTCCCTCCGCGACCACCACCACCCTTGTTAATTATTATTTATTTTACAGCCATTCCATTCAAACGGTTTTAAGTTGGATGCCTTATTAATTGCAAATAAACGTGGCCAGTCGTGACTTTTACCCTCCAGCCTGTTGTCATGTGTGATTTATTTGGGGAGTTACATTGGGGAGAGGGTGCTGGTTCATGAATGGTGGTTGGGTTGTTCTTTGGGGGGGATTGTGGAATGCAAGGACATAGGAGGTAACGTGTCCTTGTGTGTGTATTTATGTGATTAACTGTTTATTCTCTGCTTGTGATAATACAGATAACTGTTTTTAGCGACTGTGTGCTGTTTAGTGTTTGTGTAACCTTACCGTAGCTGTCTATTTGTGACCGTGATCTTAAATTGTCTGTGAATGTCAGTTTGCTATGTTTTAGTGGTTATGGTGTGTGTGTGTGTTAAAGAGACACTCCACTGCCTTAATACAAAAATTTGAATACATATTTAGTAGATATGCTTCAATGAAAATCTGCTTGCATTTAATTCTACATTGTTTCATTGGGAGTATATATAAAAACCACGTGCAAAAGCTGCAGATCAACTGTCTGCAGCCTTTGCAGGCTCTCCCCTTCTAGCCCTGCCCATACTTTCTATGGCTGTCCAATCACAGACTTCCCAATGCAGCTCAATGAGAAGTCTTTGCAAGGCAGGTGCTCTGGGCAATTTTAGATTAGTTTAGTTCCACTGCGCTAAATAACCAGGAAGTAAGAGGACCTGTTGTCAGCGTTCCACTGCGCTAAATAAACAGGAAGGAAGAAGACCTGTTGTCTGGCTGACATCCAGGGGGTGTAACCAGGTTCTTTTATAAAAGTGCCAATTTCATACAAAGCTTTTCAGCAAGTTAAAGTGCTTTAGGAGTCTGGAGTGTCCATTTAATCCTCTGAGTGTCATGTTGTGTTAGAGAGTGGAGAGTTGACAGGGTATTTGTGTTTTAGAGGAATTTTGAGGCGGTTATACACAGGGCCGACTTGAGGTCCTTTAACTCTAGGTTTTCCGGTCTCATCAGACCGGGCTCCTGACGGAAACAGATTGATTTCTTCCACGAGCGACAGAGCTGGGAGCCGCAGACTAGGACTACAGGGTGCCCCATAAAATAATTTTGTTAGAGGCTCTTCGATTTTGAAATGGGAGCCCTGTGAGAGAGAAGAGAAGAGAAGTGATATTTGAAAGTGTGACTTTTCATTTTTTGAACTGATTTTTGTCTCTGTACAATTCCTGTGTTTACAATTTACTGAATAAAACCCTGAATCTCAGGGGATATATATGCCGTGCAGGAGAAAGAAAGGTTAATTAATTGATTGTTGCATTAATTAATCCCTTTGAGAGTAAGCTTGCAGTGTTTTCTCAATATCATCTTATCTGCAGCTTACTCCCTTGTCTGCCACCACCTTCATACTTCAATAGACCCCCCACTGTATATGTCAGCTTTATAACATGACCCCCAACCCTCTCACGCATTAGAAATTCCGGTTATGTCAAATTACTTCTGTGAATGTCTGCGTCAATCCGTATAACTACAGCTCATTCACATTCTGGATTTTTACCGAGTGATCCAGATTCCCTTCTATGTTCCCCCCAATTCCTATTTTATTTAATGACCTCAAGTGCGAGTAATTTTAACACGCGGTTTAGTGAAATTTTTAGGACTGAAAATCACCCAGGCTGGAAAGTTACTGAGATGAGTGAATAAACTCCCATGAAACGTCTAATTAGTATCATGATTTTATTGGTATAATTAGTGTAATGGTTATTTATAGATAACATTTACAGATTTTTTTTGCACGTCTTGTTACTAAGTGACATCATTAATCCATTGCAGAAGGGACGGTTAGCCGTTATTCCAGGGTTTTTTGTGTCCGATGCTGGGAAGCGAGGCCTTTTTGGATGATGCTTTGACAGATGCGTGAGGGGTTAAATCAGAGACAGCTGAGCCGTGTGGTACCCACAATGCAGCTGGCGTTGCACTGATGCTGGAAACAATCAGTCGCCTCCTCCTCTTGCAGCATCCTTGCATCCCTGATGCAGAGCACATACATTCAAAGGGAGAAGGCTCTGGGATACTCCCAACATGGGTCTTCGCTGAGGACCATGACGGACCAGAAGGCCAGTGTTGGTGGTGGGAGGCTGCCGCCGGGCCCTGAGCCGGAGATGGAGGGTCGGATTCAGAAAGCGGTGGAGTTCAAGAGCGAAGGGAATCGATGCTACAAGGAAAAGAAATTCCGGGATGCCATCGGCAAGTACCATCGGGCCTTGCTGGTGCTCAAGGGCGTTCATGAAGCCAGGGAGGATGGTAAAGCCAACAGCAGGGACGGGGCCAGGCTGACGGAGGCTCAGAAGGTCCAAGTGGAGGCCACAGAGATCGAGTGCTATGACAGTCTGACTGGTAGGTCGGGGATGGATGGGGGGGCTTGGAAATCACTGGACCATCAAACCAAGGGCTATGGTCGGCAAAACTTTCTATAGGCAGATAATTTAACCCTTTCATTGCCTCTCCTATGACCATGCAGGATGCACCTGTTCCAGAAACAAAATATACCATCGTATTATGTGATCGTGTAACTGTAACTGCATAGTATAACGCTGTAATATCTGTATGTGTGTATATATAGTATTGTTAGTGTACGATCCCGTCTGTCTGTGTCACCCTGCAGTGGGAGGGACAGACTCTGTGTCCCATAGCTCCTTCTGTCTGTGTCACCCTGCAGTGGGAGGGACAGACTCTGTGTCCCATAGCTCCTTCTGTCTGTGTCACCCTGCAGTGGGAGGGACAGACTCCGTGTCCCATAGCTCCTTCTGTCTGTGTCACCCTGCAGTGGGAGGGACAGACTCCGTGTCCCATAGCTCCTTCTGTCTGTGTCACCCTGCAGTGGGAGGGACAGACTCCGTGTCCCACAGCTCCTTCTGTCTGTGTCACCCTGCAGTGGGAGGGACAGACTCCGTGTCCCATAGCTCCTTCTGTCTGTGTCACCCTGCAGTGGGAGGGACAGACTCCGTGTCCCATAGCTCCTTCCCTCTGTGTCACCCTGCAGTGGGAGGGACAGACTCCGTGTCCCATAGCTCCTTCTGTCTGTGTCACCCTGCAGTGGGAGGGACAGACTCTGTGTCCCATAGCTCCTTCTGTCTTTCACCCCGCAGTGGGAGGGACAGACTTTGTGTCCCATAGCTCCTTCTGTCACCCCGCAGTGGGAGGGACAGACTCAGTGTCCCATAGCTCCTTCTGTCTGTGTCACCATGCAGTGGGAGGGTCAGACTGTGTCCCATAGCTCCTTCTGTCTGTGTCACCCTGCAGTAGGAGGGACAGACTCCGTGTCCCATAGCTCCTTCTGTCTGTGTCACCCTGCAGTAGGAGGGACAGACTCCGTGTCCCATAGCTCCATCTGTCTGTGTCACCCTGCAGTAGGAGGGACAGACTCCGTGTCCCATAGCTCCTTCTGTCTGTGTCGCCCTGCAGTGGGAGGGTCAGACTGTGTCCCATAGCTCCTTCTGTCTGTGTCACCCTGCAGTGGGAGGGACAGACTCTGTGTCCCATAGCTCCTTCTGTCTGTGTCACCCTGCAGTGGGAGGGACAGACTCCGTGTCCCATAGCTCCTTCTGTCTGTGTCACCCTGCAGTGGGAGGGACAGACTCCGTGTCCCATAGCTCCTTCTGTCTGTGTCACCCTGCAGTGGGAGGGTCAGACTGTGTCCCATAGCTCCTTCTGTCTGTGTCACCCTGCAGTGGGAGGGACAGACTCTGTGTCCCATAGCTCCTTCTGTCTGTGTCACCCTGTAGTAGAAGGGACAGACTCCGTGTCCCATAGCTCCTTCTGTCTGTGTCACCCTGCAGTAGGAGGGACAGACTCAGTGTCCCATAGCTCCTTCTGTCTGTGCCACCCTGCAGTGGGAGGGACAGACTCCGTGTCCCATAGCCTTCAGGCCACCTCAGTAAGACAGGGACAGCCTGGGAGTGTCCCATAGCCCTTCCCTGTCTGGTGTCACCCCTGCAGTGGGAGTGGACAGACTGTGTGTCCCATAGCTCCTTCTGTCTGTGTCATCCTGCAGTGGGAGGGCCAGCATTCCGTGTCCCATAGCTCCTTCCTGTCTGTGTCACCTCTCTGTGCAGTGAGAGAGGGACAGACCAAGTAGTCCCATAGCCCTTCCTGTCTGTGTCACCCTGCAGGGAGGGACAGACTGCGGTCCCATAGCTCCGTCTGTCTGTGTCACCCTGCAGTGGGAGGGACAGACTCCTCGTGTCCATAGCTCCTTCCTGTCTGTGTCACCCTGCAGTGGGAGGGACAGACCCGCGGTCCCATATGGCCTTTCTGTCTGTGTCACCCTGCAGCGGGAGGGACAGACTCTGTGTCCCATAGCTCCTTCTGTCTGTGTCACCCTGCAGTGGGAGGGACAGACTGTGTCCCATAGCTCCTTCTGTCTGTGTCACCCTGCAGTGGGAGGGACGGACTCCGTGTCCCATAGCTCCCTTCTGTCTGTGTCACCCTGCAGTGGGAGGGACGGACTCCGTGTCCCATAGCTCCCTCTGTCTGTGTCACCCTGCAGCGGGAGGGACAGACTCCGTGTCCCATAGCTCCTTCTGTCTGTGTCACCCTGCAGTGGGAGGGACAGACTCGTCCCATAGCCTTTCCGTCTGTGTCACCCTGCAGTGGGAGGGACAGACTGCGGTCCCATAGCTCTTCTGTCTGTAAGCCACTCCCTGCAGTGGGAGGGACAGGACTCTGTGTCCCATAGCTCCTTCCTGTCTTCACCCTCAAGAAAGTGGGAGGACAGACTTGTGTCCCATAGCTCCTTCCTGTCACCCTGCAGTAAGAGGGACAGATTCCTTGTCCCATAGCTCCTTTTGTCTGTGTCACCCTGCAGTAAGAGGGACAGACTCTGTGTCCCATAGCTCCTTCTGTCTGTGTCACCCTGCAGTGGGAAGGACAAACTCCATGTCCCATAGCTCCTTCTGTCTGTGTCACCTTGCAGTGGGAGGGACAGACTCCGTGTCCCATAGCTCCTTCTGTCTGTGTCACCCTGCAGTGGGAGGGACAGACTCCGTGTCCCATGGCTCCTTCTGTCTGTGTCACCATGCAGTGGGAGGGACAGACTCCGTGTCCCATAGTTCCCTTCTGTCTGTGTCACCCTGCAGTGGGAGGGACAGACTCAGTGTCCCATAGCTCCTTCTGTCTGTCACCCTGCAGTGGGAGGGACAGACTCCGTGTCCCATAGCTCCTTCTGTCTGTGTCACCCTGCAGTGGGAGGGACAGACTCCTTGTCCCATAGCTCCTTCTGTCTGTGTCACCCTGCAGTGAGAGGGACTGACTCCGTGTCCCATAGCTCCTTCTGTCTGTGTCACCCTGCAGTGGGAGGGACAGACTCCGTGTCCCATAGCTCCTTCTGTCTGTGTCACCCTGCAGTGGGAGGGACAGACTCCGTGTCCCATAGCTCCTTCTGTATGTGTCACCCTGCAGGGGGAAGGACAGACTGTGTCCCATAGCTCCTTCTGTCTGTGTCACCCTGCCGTAGGAGGGACAGACTCCGTGTCCCATAGCTCCTTCTGTCTGTGTCACTCTGCAGTGGGAGGGACAGACTGTGTCCCATAGCTCCTTCTGTCTGTGTCACCCTGCAGTGGGAGGGACAGACTGTGTCCCATAGCTCCTTCTGTCTGTGTCACCCTGCAGTGGGAGGGACAGACTATGTCCCATAGCTCCCTTCTGTCTGTGTCACCCTGCAGCGGGAGGGACAGACTCCGTCTCCCATAGCTCCTTCTGTCTGTGTCACCCTGCAGTCTGTGTCACCCTGCAGTGGGAGGGACAGACTCCGTGTCCCATAGCTCCTTCTGTCTGTGTCACCCTGCAGCGGGAGGAACAGACTCAGTGTCCCATAGCTCCCTTCTGTCTGTCACACCCTGCAGTGGGAGGGACAGACTCCGTGTCCCATAGCTCCTTCTGTCTGTGTCACCCTGCAGTGGGAGGGACAGATTCCATGTCCCATAGCTCCTTCTGTCTGTGTCACCCTGCAGTGGGAGGGACAGATTCCGTGTCCCATAGCTCCTTCTGTCTGTGTAACCCTGCAGTGGGAGGGACAGACTCCGTGTCCCATAGCTCCTTCTGTCTGTGTCACCCTGCAGTGGGAGGGACAGACTCCGTGTCCCATAGCTCCTTCTGTCTGTGTTACCCTGCAGTGGGAGGGACAGACTCTGTGTCCCATAGCTTCTTCTGTCTGTGTCACCCTGCAGTGGGAGGGACAGACTCTGTGTCCCATAGCTCCTTCTGTCTGTGTCACCCTGCAGTGGGAGGGACAGACTGTGTGTACCATAGCTCCTTCTGTCTGTGTCACCCTGCAGTGGGAGGGACAGACTGTGTGTACCATAGCTCCTTCTGTCTGTGTCACCCTGCAGTGGGAGGGACAGACTCTGTGTCCCATAGCTCCTTCTGTCTGTGTCACCCTGCAGTGGGAGGGACAGACTCCGTGTCCCATAGCTCCTTCTGTCTGTGTCACACTGCAACGGGAGGGACAGACTCTGTGTCCCATAGCTCCTTCTGTCTGTGTCACACTGCAACGGGAGGGACATACTCCGTGTCCCATAGCTCCCTTCTGTCTGTGTCACCCTGCAGTGGGAGGGACAGACTCCGTGTCCCATAGCTCCTTCTGTCTGTGTCACCCTGCAGTGGGAGGGACAGACTCAGTGTCCAATAGATCCTTCCGTCTGTGTCACCCTGCAGTGGGAGGGACAGACTCCGTGTCCCATAGCTCCTTCTGTCTGTGTCACCCTGCAGTGGGAGAGACAGACTCCGTGTCCCATAGCTCCCTTCTGTCTGTGTCACCCTGCAGTGGGAGAGACAGACTCCGTGTCCCATAGCTCCCTTCTGTCTGTGTCACCCTGCAGTGGGAGGGACAGACTCCGTGTCCTATAGCTCCTTCTGTCTGTGTCACCCTGCAGTGGGAGAGACAGACTCCGTGTCATTTTGTCGTTGGTGTTCTCTAGCTCTTTTCTGCCCATGTCACCATATGTTTTTTCAGATGACACCCTATTTTAGCAGAGTTTACTGCCCTCTCTCCTCTCTCTCCAGGCTGCCTGTGCTCTGCAGGAGGTTCTCTCTGTGCCAGAATCCGCTCCGGCTGTGATGGAACACTACTCCCAGCTCTTCACGGCACTCCTTCTCCGTATCAGCTCTATGGTTGGTGTCCAGTTACCCAAAAACCTGGGCGGCTCCAAGGACAGGAAGAACTCCTCGCAACGCAGTCTGGACCCCTGCAGGTATGTGTCAGTTACTAGTACTCCGCATTATCATTAATAGCGGAATTTCTCATATTGACATTGCTGGAAGAGTACTCTACATTAGCTAGAAACCCCAACGCAAAGTGCACCTTCAGGAAGGTTACTAGGAGCTGCTCTATTTAGTAATGCTGACAAGGAATATCCTGCCAGGAATTGTACAGTGCGATACTCAGCTGGTAATCCTAACCACAAATACACTGCCAGTAATGTTACTAGCTAGGATTGATGATATTATTACTGGCAGGGTACTCTGTGTCGTTATTACCAGCTGAGTATCTCACAGTAATATTACTGGCAGGGTACGATGTGTCGTTATTACTAGCTGAGTATCTCACAGTAATATTACTGGCAGGGTACGCTGTGTCGGTATTACTAGCTGAGTATCGCACAGTAATATTACTGGCAGGGTACGATGTGTCGGTATTACTAGCTGAGTATCGCACAGTAATATTACTGGCAGGGTACGCTGTGTCGGTATTACCAGCTGAGTATCTCACAGTAATATTACTGGCAGGGTACGCTGTGTCGGTATTACTAGCTGAGTATCTCACAGTAATATTACTGGCAGGGTACGATGTGTCGGTATTACTAGCTGAGTATCGCACAGTAATATTACTGGCAGGGTACGCTGTGTCGGTATTACCAGCTGAGTATCTCACAGTAATATTACTGGCAGGGTACGCTGTGTCGGTATTACTAGCTGAGTATCTCACAGTAATATTACTGGGTAATGCATGTGTCGCTATTACTAGCGAGACGCATTGCAATATTACTGGCAGGGTACGCTGTGTCAGTATTACCAGCTGAGTATCTCACAGTAATATTACTGGCAGGGTACTCTGTGTTGGTATTACTAGCAGAGTATCTCACAGTAATATTACTGGCAGGGTACTCTGTGTCAGTATTACTAGCTGAGTATCTCACAGTAATATTACTGGGAGGGTACGATGTGTCGGTACTACTAGCTGAGTATCTCACAGTAATATTACTGGCAGGGTATGCTGTGTCAGTATTACTAGCTGAGTATCTCACAGTAATATTACTGGCATGGTACTCTGTGTCAGTATTACCAGCTGAGTATCTCACAGTAATATTACTGGCAGGGTACGCTGTGTCGTTATTACTAGCTGAGTATTGCACAGTAATATTACTGGCAGGGTACGCTGTGTCGGTATTACTAGCTGAGTATCTCACAGTAATATTACTGGCAGGGTACGCTGTGTCGGTATTACTAGCAGAGTATCACACAGTAATATTACTGGCAGGGTACGCTGTGTCGGTATTACTAGCTGAGTATCTCACAGTAATATTACTGGCAGGGTATGCTGTGTCAGTATTACTAGCTGAGTATCTCACAGTAATATTACTGGCATGGTACTCTGTGTCAGTATTACTAGCTGAGTATCTCACAGTAATATTACTGGCAGGGTACGCTGTGTCGTTATTACTAGCTGAGTATCGCACAGTAATATTACTGGCAGGGTACGCTGTGTCGGTATTACTAGCTGAGTATCTCACAGTAATATTACTGGCAGGGTACGCTGTGTCGGTATTACTAGCAGAGTATCACACAGTAATATTACTGGCAGGGTACGCTGTGTCGGTATTACTAGCTGAGTATCTCACAGTAATATTACTGGCAGGGTACGCTGTGTCGGTATTACTAGCAGAGTATCTCACAGTAATATTACTGGCAGGGTACGATGTGTCGGTATTACTAGCGGAGTATCGCACAGTAATATTACTGGCAGGGTACGATGTGTCGGTATTACTAGCGGAGTATCACACAGTAATATTACTGGCAGGGTACGCTGTGTCGGTATTACTAGCTGAGTATCTCACAGTAATATTACTGGCAGGGTACGCTGTGTCGGTATTACTAGCAGAGTATCTCACAGTAATATTACTGGCAGGGTACGCTGTGTCGGTATTACTAGCAGAGTATCACACCGTAATATTACTGGCAGGGTACGCTGTGTCGGTATTACTAGCGGAGTATCGCACAGTAATATTACTGGCAGGGTACGCTGTGTCGGTATTACTAGCAGAGTATCTCACAGTAATATTACTGGCAGGGTACGATGTGTCGGTATTACTAGCGGAGTATCACACAGTAATATTACTGGCAGGGTACGCTGTGTCGGTATTACTAGCTGAGTATCTCACAGTAATATTACTGGCAGGGTACGCTGTGTCGGTATTACTAGCTGAGTATCTCACAGTAATATTACTGGCAGGGTACGCTGTGTCGGTATTACTAGCAGAGTATCTCACAGTAATATTACTGGCAGGGTACGCTGTGTCGGTATTACTAGCAGAGTATCACACCGTAATATTACTGGCAGGGTATCGCAGTTGGTATTACTAGCGGAGTATCGCACAGTAATATTACTGGCAGGGTACGCTGTGTCGGTATTACTAGCGGAGTATCGCACAGTAATATTACTGGCAGGGTACGCTGTGTCGGTATTACTAGCTGAGTATCTCACAGTAATATTACTGGCAGGGTACGCTGTGTCGGTATTACTAGCGGAGTATCGCACAGTAATATTACTGGCAGGGTACGCTGTGTCGGTATTACTAGCAGAGTATCTCACAGTAATATTACTGGCAGGGTACGATGTGTCGGTATTACTAGTGGAGTATCGCACAGTGTAGCGGAGAGGTAGTATGATCCACAGTATTTCCGCTGGGTAACAGGAACAGCATAGAATCCTTCAAGCAAAATAAGTACAGCATGCAATAATCCCGGTAGCGATGTATAAATCCTCCTTCCCAAGAACTAGACGACACATAGGCTGGGAGTCAACTGAGCTTTTAATCACAGGTCACCGTATTTATGGGATTCCCCATGCAAGGGGTTTCCCTACTGACATTACAGGGGTTGTACAGTAGAGGACTACATGGAGAACTTAACAACCTGGACATTTCTCCCACCATGCACTGCTGTACGAGAGGGATACTCCCACTTGAATATCCTGTTAAATGGATTATCCCTCCATGCAGCAGAACTGACATTTTACATGAAAATGCATAACTTTTATAATATTCACTTGATTTAAATGAATGGACGTTCGGTAGATAGCTGGGGTCTGAGCGCAAAGTTCGTGAGAATGCCGCTCAGATCCCAGCATAACTAACCGAACGCCGCATGAAACGCACATTATTTTCAAGTTACATTCAAAGTACCGATTGACATTAGGGGAACAAACTACCGAACGACCAGGGCTCCCAAACGGTCCAGCGGTATTCGTGCTGTCGAGTAGCCGATTTTAGTTCCATGCGCTCGACGACCAAATACCGCTGGGCTAACAAAGGTTTCAAGATGGCCGACCGCCGCGTGGTCGGTACCCGAACGGCGGCCACCCTGAAACTCAATAATCACCGATGGAAACATTGTTGCAATCTTTAATGGGAGACACACGACCTCCTGAGTGTGGTCTCCCATTTGGCAGTTATTTCGTTTCCCGAACAGGGTTGAAATGCCCTGTTCGGGAAGCTATTGTATGAATGCTGGGACTGTCTCGCCTCCAGCATACGAATGCTCTAGTTCGCACACTACACATATACAGCTATCACTTTGGTTCTAATAGTCCTTAAAGGGATAGCATCCCACACATGAAAATACACCGTAATATTACTGGCAGGGTACTCTGTGTCAGTATTACAGCTGAGTATCGCACAGTAATATTACTGGCAGGGTACTCTGTGTTGGTATTACTAGCGGAGTATCGCACAGTAATATTACTGGCAGGGTACTCTGTGTCGGTATTACTAGCGGAGTATCGCACAGTAATATTACTGGCAGGGTACGCTGTGTAGCGGATGGCCCTGTGCTGTCCTGAGCAATTCATGTATTTCTATGCATTTAGTGTAGCGGATGGCACTGGGCTGTCCTGAGCAATTCATGTATTTCTATGCATTCGTGTGAAAATGGCAAAGTCTATGTATTTAATGTATTGGATTCGTCTGAATGTTAGGTAGTTTCATTCCCTTAGTTTGTTCGAATGAAACTACCGAACAGTCAGACCTCCCATGTGTGAAGTGTGTTCTCAATTACCCGTTGCAACATTGTTGCGAACGGGTAATTGGCAAGTGAAGTAGCCGTCCTTTGTTCTCTGGAACTCAAATCGGACACTCGACTAGGCGAACACCGCTGAAACCTCCACAAGCCCGGTCGGTTCGGTTCCTAACTACCGAACAGCCCCTCTTTCGGTAGATAGAAAGAACCGAACGAGGGGATTCAGGCGAACCCTCCCTAGCTTCTATAGCTAGAGGCTTTCATGCAGTTTGTTCCCTTACTCCAGGACCGACCGCAGGGCCCATTCGCATGGAACCGCATTCCGCTGTCTCAGTCAGTGCGGTCGGTCATTTTATTCCCTCCATAGATTTCCTGAACCCCTGGTCTGATCTGGGTTATTTTTGTATATGTTGTTCACCCAGATCAGGGCTATCAGGGGGTGTAGGATTTAAAGGGGTACCCCTACGTTTAGGGGTACATCCAGAAACGGGGGGAATTGGTGTGCTGGATTATGATGCTGGCTGAGGGGAGGAGATGTGTGGGAGGTTACCAGGACAGGATTGGCTACTGTACTAATGATTGTAAATCCCTCCCTTGCATGGGAGCATGCTTTAAAAGGAGACTGTGGATTAAAGCTTTCTGTTCTGCTCCTGAAACTGTGTGTCGTCCAGTTATTGGGATTGCTGTTGGGATATTGCTGTTATTTTGCCTGCTGGAAACCTTGCCTGTGGATTTACAATTTACTTGTTCCTGAGCCTCACTTGGATTATAAGCGGAGATACCTGGGGATTATTGCATCTCCGCTACACTCTGTGTCGGTATCACTAGCTGAGTATCGCACAGCAATATTACTTCAGGGTACTCAATTAGCCAAGTATCAGTCTCCGTGTAAGTAACTATAATGTGAATTATTGGAAATGATTATGAATTAGAAAGAATAGTGTAGAATAATACATTTTTAGC